CCGCGCCGCCAGCACCGCCACCCCGCCCGCCGCCGACCTGCCCGCTCCACCTCCCTCCTCCTCCGCCTCCTCCGCCGCCGCCCGCCAGCCCTCCACGCCCGGCATGGACACGCTCGCCGACCTGGCCGCCCTGCAGCCGCACCAACCCCAACCCCAGCCCCCATCCCAGTCCCAGTCCCAGCGACCCGCCCCCCGCCTGCGCAGCTCCGACGCCTACGAGAGCCAGCTGTCGCCCTCGACGCTGTACCCCAGCGTGCCGCCCGTCGCCCACTCCACGCCCACGCCGCGCCCCTACGAGCGAGCCCTGTCCGACGCCGCCACCACCGCCGACTTCCCCCGCCGCGACTACGCCCACACCAGCCTGCCGCCCGCCGCCCAGCGCCAGGCCACCGCCCTCTGCGCCGACATCCTGCGCTGCCCGCACGCCTACGACCCGCGCGTGCGCTTCATCCGTCTGCTGCACCGCGGCTTCGTCGACCACCTCTACCCGCCTGCCGCGCCCGCCGCCCGTGGCGAGCCGCACCGCTACGACCTGCTCGCCGACCTGCGCGCCGCCCGCGAGGACCTCGACCGTCTGTTCGCGCTGGGTGAGGATCTGTGGGTGGAGTGGATTCAGGACGAGAGCGTGCTGGCCCGCTCCGTCGACGAGCGCATCGCCGTGCTCGAGCTGTGCCAGCGCTCCGTCGAGGAGGAATACGCCAGCACGCGCCTGTGGGTCATCTACGGCGACTGGATGCTGTATCTCTACGAGGCCGCTGCCGACGCCGCCGCCGCGGCCGCTGCCACGCCCACCCCGGCGGCTCCCCGCCCGCACTGGTCCGACGACGACAAGCTCGTTGGTCGCGAGGTCTTCAGCTGGCAGTCCGTCATGGACGTCTGGCGCAAGGCCGCCGACGCCACCAAGTGGCGCCTCAACGACAGCCACGCCGTCTGGAACCGCTACGCCGAACTGGCCCTGCGTGAGCTCGCCCGCGCGCCCGCCCCGGACAAGGCCGCCCACCTGCGCGCCCTCTTCGAAGCCCGCCTGCAGCTGCCGCACATGGCCTGGGACCAGACCTTCCAGCTCTTCTCGACCTTCGTGTCCTCCTACTACAACGCCAGCTACGAGGACATCATGGTCGCCGCCAACGCCAAAGCCGCCGACCTCAAGGCCCTCTGCGACGCCCGCGAACCCCACGAGCACGCCCTGCAGCGCGCCTACGAATCCGGCGACACCGCCGCCGAATGGGCCGCCTTCGCGCAGTACATCGACTTCGAATGCTCCTCGCACAAGTACAAGAAGCCGCGCTTTGGCTACCACCTCGCCATCGCGCTCTTCCAGCGCGCCCTCCTCCGCTTCCCCACCGACGCCAGCCTCTGGGACGACTACATCATGTACCTCGTCCACGAAGCCATGCAGAGCCGCACCAGCGACCCCGTCATCCCCGTCGTCGAGCGCGCCACCCGCCACTGTCCCTGGTCCGGCTCGCTCTGGTCGCAGCTCCTGCTCTCCGCCGAGCGCGCCGGCTTCTCCTTCCAGCACATCTCCGACCTCAAACACAAAGCCACGCGGACCGGCCTGCTCGACGCCGCCGGCGTCGACGAGGTCCTCAAGGTCCACACCACCTGGTGCAGCTACCTTCGCCGCCTGCCCTTCCAATCCGACTCCACCGACGAAGACCTCGATGTCGCCGAGGTGGGCATGCGCTCCGCCATCGAGAGCGTCCAGGCCATCGGCGACAAGGGCGACGCTACCGTGCCCAACGACCCGCTCTTCCGCCTCGAGCGCATCTACATCCGCTACCTGAGTGAGAGCGGCAGCTGGGACAGCGCCCGTGAGACCTTCAAGGGCCTCATTGGCCGCCATGGCCACAACTACGACTTCTGGCTGATGTTCTACGCCTGGGAGCTCCTCTGCTGGAGCAAATTCACCCAGGGCGACGAGCCGAGAAAGGCGCCCAGCCCGCACTACGCCACCGCCGTCCTGAAACAGGCCCTTCGCAGAGACGATCTGGACTGGCCGGAGAAGATCATGGACACGTATATCGCCCATTGCGAGCAGTATGAAGACGCCGAAGAGCTGCAATTGGCCATTGTCGAAATCCGCCGCTTCACCAAACGCGTGGCCAAACGCCGCGAAAAAGAAGCCCTTGAACGTGCCGCCCAGCAGCAAACCGCCGCCGCCGCCGCCGAAGCGCCCGAGCCGCCCGCAGCGGCGAGCGCAGACGAGACTTCGCATGCTGGGAAACGCAAGCGGGACTCTGCCGATGTCAATGGCCAGGCGAGCAAGAAGCCCAAGCCTGAGCTGAGCGAGGCCTTGGCCCAGCCGTCGGCGCAGTCTGGCTCCAAGCGGGATCGGGAAAATTCGAGCATATTGGTCAAGAATTTGCCGAAGAACATCCAACCAGTCAGAGTTCGGCAGTTTTTCCGAGACGTGTGTACCCCCCGTGGCTCTATGTAAGACCTCTTTCGTGCGTGAAACTAACGAATACCTTTGTAGTGCGGCAAGATCAATTCTCTCAATCTACTTCCTGCGGACGACGACTCGGTTTCTGCCATTATCGAGTTTGATTCCAAAGAGGATGCCGAAGCTGCCCAAACGCGCGATCAGAAGTCGCTGGAAGGGAATACCGTCAGTGTCCAGCTCGAGACTCAAGCCACTATATTTGTCACGAATTTCCCCCCCGAGGCTGATGAGTCCTATATACGCGATCTCTTTAATTCCGTAAGTTGTTTAACTCGTACCCTTTTTTCATCGCCCTTTTAACAGACCCGTAGTACGGAGAGATTGTGGAAGTACGATTCCCATCCCTCAAATACAACACCCATCGCCGATTCTGCTATGTACAATTTACGTCCGCAGTCGATGCCCACACCGCAATTGAACTAGACCAGAAGCGTGTCGGCGAATCGCTAAAACTCGTGGTCAAGATATCCGATCCATCACGACGCCAGGCCCGCTCCGGCGCCTTCGAGGAAGGACGAGAGATACATATCTCGAATCTCGATTGGAAGGCTACCGAAGATGACTTGGTTGAGCTTTTCACGGCGTTTGGGAAAGTAGAAGTTGCGCGGATTCCGAAGAAAGCCGATGGTGGCAGCAAGGGTTTCGCATTTGTGGTTTTTACCACGGCAGTAAGCTTCTCCACATCGAGCACTCAGACCTGGTTTTCTAGGCTAACTTGAACGACAGGAGGCAGCAAATGCGGCATTGGCAATGAACCAGAAAGAGTTTCGCTCTCGCCCTCTTCATGTCAAACTATCTACACCCACCGGCGCTAAGCGGCAAGCTGCGACTATCATTTCACGCATCGGACACTCCAAGTCGCCCTCCATGGAGCCGAACGGTGCGTCGCCATCCGTATCGATGGACGGAAGTGACGTTCCCGTTGGCGATAGAGCCTCTCGTACACTAGGCCTCATGAATGTTCCAGATACGGTTAACGACACCCGCATCCGCAAGCTCGTTGAACCCTATGGAACCCTGGTGAAGATAGTTCTTCGCCCCGATCATCAAGGAGCTATCGTTGAGTATCTAGATGTCAGTGATGCGGGCAAGGCCGCTCTTGGTCTAGACGGGCAGGAAATTGTACCAGGCCGGGCGATTCAAGTCGGATCCGTTCCCGACATGCTCAAGCAGTCTGCCGAGCATAAGGTGGATCGTATTCTGGTTGGAAAGCAGAAGCAGAAACAGACCCCCGCCCTCATGGCCCAGCCCTCGGCGCCTATCTCCCGGCCGGGGCAACAGGGTCGCGGGGCCCGGAGAGGAGGCTTAGGCACGAAGAGAGGCCCTTTTGCAGGGACTACTGGCGGAAAGACGGCTGACAATGTCGCGCAAAACGACCCGCAGCACAAGGCCCCGAAAGCGAAAAGCAACGACGATTTTCGGGCCCTGCTCGCCCAATCCAAAAGCAAACCCAAGGATGGCTGACGAAAGCGGAAAAGCTCGAAATGGACATGGGTTGCAAAAAAGAAAGAAAGAAACGAAGAGAAAGAGAAAGAGAGGCGAAATAATGGGAAAAAAAATAATTGCTAATGAACGGCTGGTTGGCCGCTCCCGGAGGGAAGGAGGTGCATGGGCCTGTCTCACCTCGGCCAGCGCGCTACAGGGGAAATCAACAACTGGAGCGTGATGACAGGGTGGATTGGGACGACTATGAGTGAATCTGTTTTCCTGCTGATACGTTTTCTTTGATGCCTCCTTTTTCGCCTCTTGCTACTATCATACAAACTTTAATCCCGCAAAGCTCCCCCCCCCCCCCCCCCCCATCTGAATACATGCAATTTCACAAGACATCGTTCTCATCCCCCCACCTGCTTGCTCCTCTCCACTCCTTTACCCCCCCTCCTTTTCTCCACTCTCTATCCCGTACCACTTTCCCACACTCTGTTAT